TAAAATTGAAAGCTCTACATGTAATTTTTATTTTTATTTACTTCACACGTGCATTGAGCAATTCTTAATACTACTTCATGCTCTAATTCAACTCTGACCATTAACCTTATATATATATATATATATATATATATATATATATATATATATATGTGGGGTTGGGGTGGGGTGTGTGTTTAGGCAGCAATTCTTCTTTCATGTATATTTCATTGAATACGACAGACAAGGTGATTTTATTTCATTTTTTATACAATTTCACATGTGATCTAATATTTTTTTTTCTTTTCGGGTGATAAATTATATAAAAAAAAACACTACAATATGTTTGACACACAGACTCACTCTACACCTTTTTGACCATAGCTCAATTAGACCTTATATTTAAAAATAATAATTCACCTCCTAGAACAAAATTAAATCAGGCAAATATTATTTACGAATTTAAATGCCCATTAAGGAATTGTATTCCTGATCAATCAAAATATCGTAAATAATTATGTAAGCCACACTACAACATATTTGGCAGACAGACTCACTCTACACCTTTCTGACCATAGCTCAATTAGATCTCATTTAAATATTCATGGAGACCTCCCGGACACTATTCGTAACAAACTTGTTGACAACACTAATATAATAGGATCATCTACATGCGAAAAAGGCTAAAAATAAGGGAAGCCTTAAAAAAAAAAAATAATAATATTAACTTTGAACATGGACACAATATATTGACCGTGTTTTGAAAAATGTAAACATTTTATAAAACATGCATTCAACAAACTATTTCTTATTTAACAGTTAAAATATTTAATCCTTGAAAATGGCTAAATGTATAGCCGACAGTTTTTATATAATTTATCGCCCGAAAAGAAAAAAAAAATTATTAGATCGCATGAGAAATTGTACAATAAACAAAATAAAAAGCACCTTTGTCTATAGTATTCAAAAAATATATATATATATATATATATATATATATATATATATATATATATATATATATATATATATATATATACGTGACTCCGTATCAAAAAAGCAAGCTCAAGAGAAACCAGTCGCTTGATTCCGTGGATTAGCCCAACACAGATTTGAGTGGCATCTCCTTAGGTCGGATCAGCATGTCAACAAAATACTTCTCGTCAAATGCTTCAACAAAGTCGGGGGAAAACGTCAATATCTGATTGTAACTGGCATATGGTCAGCAAAAGAAGTCAATTTTTTTTTTTATTAATGCACATATAGTTTACCAGGCTTCATTCAGAATAGCGACGTAGCGTACAGTTAAAAACTCGTATCAACGCGTGTTGTTTTTGTCATATATGTAAAAAACTAATACATTGCATTTTCATATATATATATATATATATATATATATATATATATATATATATGGAAAATAGTTAGGAAATTATTTAAGTCGGATCGCCTGAAGACACCGAAAGGTTGAAACCAAGGTAGCGTGATCGACTGATCTCTTAAATCATTCAAATTTAAAAAGCTCTGCATGCTGAACTTTTATTTTTCTTTACTCTTATATTCTTTATACGTGTATTGAGCACTTTTTAATACTACTGTTTTTTTGGTGTAATTCAACTCTGATCAATAACTTTATATATATATATATATATATATATATATATATATATATATATATATATAATTATTTATTTAAAAAAAATTATAACATAAACATGTTATAAAATCACTACAAAATAGCCATTTTGTTTCAACACTCCCGGTGTCTTATCAAGTGATGATAATCACTTGATATGTTATAAATTTTTAAATAAATAATTATATCTGCTCTACTTTGTATTGAGCACACTTTTAAAGAATAGTAATGTTTGGTTTTTGGAATTCATTCCATATACACCAATTATATACTGGATATATATATATATATATATATATATATATATATATATATATATATATATATATATGATGGACTCTCCCGTCGTTTTCGACGTATGAGTGTCTTTCAGTTCAGTTTTTAATCCTGTACCTGTCCCCGTCGCCTTAACTCTATCGCCAGTGGACTTGTTGCTCAGGTGGAATAGCAGACCTGAACTGCAGACTATCCACACAAAAAATTTGTTTAGAGTGCTGAAGGCTTGTGTAGAACCAGCCACACTTATTGGAAGTGCTGATAAAAAGGAGTTGGTGCAAATATTTGCCACGAACACAATGAACAACACACCTCAGGTTTTAATATCACGGAGTTATACCTCTCCAGTACTACTAGTGCACAGAAGAATGCAGAGCCTTTCGATGGCAATTTCACGTGATTTAGCCCGCCTGCTGAAGCGGTTTACAGGGTTTGGCTCGTGGAGATTTAGGGGATAGGTGAAGACCATTGTTGCCCGTCCTTCTTAATAATAAGTGCAGCAGCCGAGTAACAAATGTACTACTTCTACCCACTGCTACCTACACGCATAGAACATGCACTGGATATCGGAGTAAACACTTCGTAATTAATGTGCAATATATTGCTACAAGTATAAATTATTATGAGAGAAAATTTTATTATTATTATTATTATTGTTGCCATGAAAATATTTGTAGAAAAGACAGAGGGAAGCCACATCGCGTACATATTACTCGTTTTCGGAGCACACTCTTCTGGTAGGGTAGCTAGAAATCCATGTTGCCGACTCTTGCTCAGGCACATTTGTGTTTGTTTAACACTTGTAGAGATCACCCGTGGTTTATATTCCAAGTCTATTTGAGAGAGAGAGAGAGAGAGAGAGAGAGAGAGGCGCGCGCGCGCATAGTATGTCAAATGATCAACAGTTTGAACAACGGCAGTATGTCTCAAGACTTCGGTGACGATGAGCTGTGATGTCTTCGGGTCACTTCCGTTTATGCACAAGGCTTGGGCCAACCGAAATCACATTCTCGGGGAGATTTAAACCCGAGTCGTAAAGCGAACCTTCTGACGATTCGGTCACAACTCCCACACACCCAATCACAGGAGACTCTATTTTAAATTCATCTGATGTCGCTGTTTATTCAATCTAAAGAACACAAAAAAAGGTAAAAAAAACCCTAAGAATTTCGATTTATCCTCTGAGTGAAAAGAATTAGAAATTTGATGTATGGTGGCATCTAAGGACAATAAATAAGAAAAAGAAAAGTTTAATCATCATTATATTGTGCGAATCTGTCAAGCGCATTTTCTTCCTAGCGTTAATAGAATGAGTCTCCGAAACGACTCTTTCTTTCCTTACTTTACCTAATTTTCTTTCATACTTGACGTTTCCTGTAAATCATTTACGATTTAATCTACCAAGTGTTCGACAGGAGACCTTAATATTCTATATTAAACCATACTGGATATTTTCTTATTCCCCGTTCATCTGTTCCTGCCTACGTAGGTTTCATTGTCATTGCAACATGCAATACTATAATATTCACAACATTACTTTAGATTTTAATTGACATTATTTTTACAGTACGGTTCACCCTGTGCAAGGCCAGCCCAGGTAGAGGGTTACGTCAGGAGGCAATTTCTGCGGATAGAAGTGGAAGATAAGGGTTAACGCTGGCCTTGAACAAATTGTTATGACCGAGGAAA